ACAGTTTCCCTCCCCTTCCCCACTCCCAGGAAGTGCCATGTTGGGGAGAACTGGAGGAGGACAAGGCTGCAGCTCCCCTGGCCAGGCCAGAGAAATGGGGCAGGCAAGAGGGGCACTCACCACTCCTCATCTTTATGAGCCAGGAAAAAGTCCTGCATCTGCTGCCTTCGGAAGTCGAGCTTGTAGTCATTGTAGCGTTTGACTGCCTCAGTCTCATCCACAGAGTCATCCAGGGACAGGAGGAATTCTTTGAAGGACTTCATTACAGGTGGTGGCACACCCAAGTCAATCTCTGCAATGCTGCCCAGCCTGGGGGAGGGGGCGTCCAAACAAGAAGGCTTGGTTGTGAGGGAGAGGTAGAGCCTAGGTAGTCAGACACCCCATTCTTTGTCCAAATACCCACTACCCCAAGCAGTAAGTGCTACACCTCACAGGCACCCCAGAACCTAGCCCTCTCCCAGATTCCAACCATAGTCTCCAGCAGCCCCAAACAATTCCCTTCTGGAAATTCCCTTCTCCCCAGGACCCCAGGCTTTACCTGGCCTGGATAGGCAGGACATGGTGCTGCATGATGTGGACGTCTGGGTGGCCCCAGGGCTGAGGGGGGCCATAAGTTGGTCCCCCACCCCCCCCAGCATAGGGCATGTCATAGCCACTGTGGTATGGGTCAGAACTGTGCTCATCCCTGAGGAGGGGGGGACACAAAAGTCAGACACACAAAGAAGCAGAGCCACCTCTCCAGAACATGGACAGGGACAAGAGGAGGGCACATGTAGGATGTAGTCTCTCACTCAAGGGATAAAAGGGACAAAGGAAAGCTGGGTGCGTGGGATGACTGAGACAAGGAAGCAGGAGAGGAGGGCTGAGGCCCAAGGGATCTGAGGGTAAAAAAAGAAAAGTGAAGCCACCTTACCAGTCTCTCCGCATGCGCTTTTGTGGGGGGCTAAGTTCGTGGCGAGGGGGGGAGAAACGTTCCCTTCGATTCCGGTCATAGTCTCGATATTCACCCCGACTGCGGCGCTCCCGGCCACGGTCCCACTCTCTGGAATAGGAAAGACAGTGGCTAAGATGGAGGTGTGGATGCAGTGGTGGAAACACAGGCCTTGGCTTCCATTCTCTAGCAAAGCACGACACACAAGCAAACAAAACACCCAATAGCTTGACAGCTGTGGTGGTTCACACACAGGCTGGTCTTGAACACCCTATGTAACCAAAGCGCATCACTCTGAACCTATCTCTTACTTTCACATCCCAAGTGCACACACCACTACACCTACCATAAAGCTTCATGAACCTTGAAACTACATATTAATATATATTACTTTGGGGGCATAGAAACTGAATCTAGTGCTTCCTGAATGTGTCTCTGCACTGAACTAGAGTGTGTCCCCAGTCCTGCCCCTGAACTCACTCTGCACACCAGGCAGTACTTGAACTCGAGAGCCTCCTGCCTCAGGTTCAGGAAGAGGACTATAAGCTTCTATCACTCAAAGTTAGTATAAGGAGGAGCACTGTCCTCATCACCGTGTGGTTTAAAAGAGCTTCCACAGGGATAAGGTGGAAGAAAGACAACCTTGTCCACCCATACACAGTTCCATAAAAGGGAAGACTTAAATGGCTTTTTCAGATCATTTGGGCTATGTTTTCTGGCTCCTGAAAAAAGTTAACAGAATCCTGTTATGCTGGCAGAGCTCTCAAACTCTTGAACTCTAGCAATCCTCCTGTCTCAGCCTCTCAAGCAGCTGGGCCAGCTAGATAGGTTCCTTCCTTTCTTTCTTTCTATCTTTCTTTTTAGGAAGGGAGGGTTGTTAATTTGGGGTCTATATAGCCCTAGCTGTTCAAGAACTCACTGCATAGATCAGGCTGGCTTCAAACTCAGACATTCTCCAGCCCCTGCCTCCTGGGATTAACTATAGGTGTGAGCCACCTTGCCCAGTCCCCTTTTTGGCTTTTGAGACAGGATCTCAAAGTCTGTAGTTGTGGCTGGCCTGGAACTCCCTACTTAGACGAGAATTGTCTCTTCCTTACCCCAGGAGTGCAGATTACAGGTGTGAGCTTCTACTCCTGCAAAGAGGCAGTTTAACAGTAAGTTGAAGCAGGCAAGGTATAACTCTAGCACTTGGAAAATGGAGGCAGCTACATAGTAAATATGAGATCAAACTAAGACCCTGACCCTGTGTCGTCTCTGCCCTCTGCCTGCCGCCTGAGAGCCTCATCCAGTAGCTGTTCGAAGCAGAAACAGGCACAAACAGCTCACCACTGAACCATACTCACAGAATCCAGCTGTGGACAGGGAGGAGGGATGAGCAAAGGAGCCAAGATGGGGCTGGAGAAACCCGTAAAAACAGTGGACCTGACCTAGTGAGAGCACGGAGACCCTAGTGCTTGGTAAACAGCATTGGACCGAACCAAGCTCTCTCAATGTGGGTACCAGCTAGGAGGCTTGGGCAGTCTATGGGACCTCTAACAGTGGAGCCAGTGTTTATCCCTAGAGCACAAATGGACTTTGGGAGTCCATTCCCTATGGAGGGATACTACTGCAGCCCAGATACAGCAAGGAGGGCCTAGGCCATCCTCCAAATGATATGACAGACTTTGAAGGTCCCAGGTGGAGGGCCTCACTATCCCTGGGGAGGAGTTGGGAGGGTTGGTAGGGTACATGGCAGGATGGGAGGGTGAGGGAATGGGGGGGGTGGATATGTAAATGAGTATTAAAGAATTTAAATTAAAAAAAGACCCTGTCTCAAAACAAAGTTTTTTACTCATTGTGCTACCAGCCCTTTGAGCAGCTCCTGACATTTCCCAATATATAGTATCAAGATACATTTCACAGGGTGTGGTGGCACACTCCTTTAATCCAGCACTCAGGAGGCAGAGGCAGGTGGATCTGTGAGTTCCAAAGCCAGCCTGGTCTACAGAGCAAGTTCCAGGACAGCCAGGACTACACAGAGAAACCCTGTCTCAAAAAACAAACAAAAAAGACACTTCATAAAGACTGCTTATCTCAGAAAAGTCTACACAATAGGACATTGTCAAGCTCATACTGGTAGATACAAATTTTCCAACTTTGTTTCTACCAGCAAGTTCATTAGCAACAAATACTATAACAGATTTCTTCTAAGTAACAATTTCTCTTAGCTTACTCTCCTGCACAAGTCTGCTTAACACTACTTGTGAAACCCCAGTGTTGATACTGCTCAAATAAAAAAAAAAAAAAAATGGCACCTCTGGGAAACCTTCAGGCTCCCCAACCAATCACACAACTGCTCTTGCTGAAGGCAGCAACTGTCCTACACCTAACACAGTGCTCTATTATGTGTACTTCTAATCCAACACTCATCCTGAAAACCAAACCAGACACAGAGACACACACTCTACTTAGGGACACTAACTGGTGTTCTTCAAGCGGGCATCCTTTTCATGATCTTTGTGCTAAGGCTCCGGGCTTTAACTAGCATTCCTGCAGTGCCACTAACAAAGGCAGCAATACAGTTTGAGAACCACTACACCAACTAAGAGTATGTGTCCTTGTCTCAACCTGTTGACCTCAAGCTGTTTCTAGGGAATTACCTAGAAACCCAGCTATGTGTCCCTTTCCTAAGGCTCTCCCCAACACTACACCTGTGTCTTGAACATCATCTGTTCCTCAGAACTTAAGTGTCTTTGCAATGACCTCCCACTCTGGTCTGTCTGTGGCATGTACTGAAAGCCACTTTGACCTGACACTTTTGAACTCTGAAGAACTTCATCTAGTTTCAGACTCAGAAAGCAACCTTGAGTTTCTTATTTAAGAAGCACCAGAGAGTTAAGTATGCTGCCTCACTTCTAACTCAAGCACTGAAGAGCTGAGGCAGGAGGATCACACTCCAGGCCAGTAAATAGTACATAAGACCCAGTCTGAAAAACAATAAAGTGCAGGGGTGGGGTAGAGAGATGGCTCTCAGCAGTTCAGTGGACTGAGGCTCAGTTCCTAGGAACCACCTGTTAGCTCACAACTATCTCTCAATTCCAGTTCCAGGGATACAACTCTGTTCTTACAGGAATCAGGCACAGCATAAATACATGTAGACAAAACACTCAACAAACTTAAAAAAAAAAAAATCTTAGCCAGGCGGTGGTGACACACACCTTTTATCGGATGATCTCTGTAATAAGTTCAAGGCCAGCCTGGTCTACAGAGCTAGTTCCATGACAGGCTCCAAAGCTACACAGAGAAACCCTGCCTCAAAAAAGTCAAAGGTAAATAAATAAACTAACTAGTAATAATAATTCTTGCCACCTTTAATCCTAGTACTGGGAAAGCAGAGGCAAACAGATCTCGGTGTGTTTAAGGGTCTGACTGGTCTACATAGTATTGAATTCCAGGACAGCCAGGACTACGGAGAGACCCTGCCTCAAAAAATAAATAATGCAATTTACAAGTAATAAAATGCACAAGCACTCCCTGGAACTAGGACATGCTCAGCAGAGGGCTTGCCTAGCAACTACAAAATCCTGGGCTCCATCCCTAGCACGGTTTAAACAGGGATCTGGTGGTGCATGCCTGAAATCTGGGGGGGGGTGGAGGGGTTTAGAATGTTGTTAATGTCATCCTCAGCTACCCAGCAAGTTCCAGGCCAACTGGCTATAAGAAACCCCATCTTTCCAATAGAAGGAAGGGAGGAAGGAAAACTCCTGATGCATTTCAAAGAAAGACTGATTTTTCCCACTCAGACTCTTGGCTCAAACACGTAGACCTGTCTGTTCCGCCTCATTTGGGTTTGAGATGGGTAGTCTTCCTATGTGACCTAGACCTGCATGGAAGACGAAGTGGTCCAAGTAGCTGGGTAGGGCTCCTGTCCACCTCTACTTCTGGCTGTAGCTTTGATCTTAAAGGCCTTTCAAAAATCTAACACAACAGTGAATGTATTGAATTACAGGAAGCTGTCCAACAGTGGATTACATCCTAACAAAATTTTGTAAAGGGAAAAAAAGCAACGCAGACAAGATGGGACGGAATAAAACCTCGGCGTGGACCGGTTGTGAAGGGAAAACAAAGTACGTTAATACGTCTCACCGGTCATTCCAATCGTCCCCTCGGCGTCTTTCATCTCTCTCCCGGGAACGGTCATAGTCGCTGCGCTCTCTTCGAAATTTGTCCCTGCGTCTTCGATCGTACTCGTCGTCGCTGTCGCCCATCGTGCTGTCAGA